CCCTCCTCTCCTGTACCTTTGTTACACCCACCTGGGGAAATTGCAGAGATTATGGAGCCATGTTGAAGCGGAATAGCATTCCCTTACTATCACAAAGATAAACGCACTCTCGGGAACCAGGAACAGGAAACCACGAGAGGGCAAGGAACTAGAGTGAATTAGGGATTTAAATATCCCTCTCTGGGTTCTGATTGGTCAGAGGGTGACCTCTGACCCAAGAACGTGCGCGTGCGTTGACGTTGTGACGTCACGCGCACGTTTTTATTCATTTGAGGGGCAGAGCTTAAGATGGACGCGACCATGTGGTCCGCGCCATCTTTGATTTGGGCGCGATGCCCAGAGAAGGCAGAGGAGCGGCTCCCGGCTCGTCGACGAGCAGGTAAGCTCGTGGTGTCGGCGAGGCCGTGCCGGTCGGGCACGGCTGTGGCATGCGGCGGGTCGGGAGCCGCAACACCATTCCTGTTGTTTGGTTACGGCTGTTATGAGAACACATACCTGGGAAAAACCTCTAATGAAACGCCTATAAAAGTTGGCGAATCCCATGAATCACTGTACGGATTTCTTGTCTTTGAGTACTGGCCATTCCGATGTGTAAGTGATTTTACGAGGATCCATTTGTATTTGCCCAGGGGTAATTACATATCTCAAGAACTGTACGGATCCAGTATCAAAGACACATTTCTCTAATTTGGCGTATAGCCCATGTTCACGGAGGCGGAGAAGTACCCTCCTCATATGTTCGTTATGTTCAGCAGGAGAAGACCAGGATGTCATCTAGAAAGATTACAATGAAGGAATCCAGTATATCACGGAAGACATAATTCAGAAAATGTTGGAATGTGGCTGGGGCGTTACAGAGCCCGAAAGGTATGACGAGGTATTTAAAGTGCCCATACCGTGTTCTTACGGATGCGGACCAGGTTATATGCACCTCGTAGATCCAATTTCGAGAATATTTTTGCTTTCCTCAATCTGTCTAAGAGTTTGGGTATCAGAGGTAGGGGATATCGGTTCTTGATTGTGATATTATTAAGGGCACGATAATTGACACAAGGACGCAGGCCCCCATCTTTCTTGCCAACAAAGAATATACCTGCTCCTGCTGGAGAGGATGAAGGTCTAATGAAGCCTTTGGCTAGGTTTTCGGGGATATATTCCTTCAGATGTTTGAGCTCAGCTTCTGAGAGAGGAAATATGTGTCCATAGGGGATGGGAGCGTCTGGGAGTAGTTCAGTTGGACAGTCATATAGAATAAGTGGAAACACTGGTGAGGGTAGTATATCGAGGTTAATAGTCTCTTTGTGTTGGCCAAGGAGGAGGCAAATAGGACCTGTTTCATATAGTACAGGACCTGTCTTGATTGGAGTACCATCCACTACGTATAGTGATAAGGGATGAGATTTTCATCGCATGGGCAGTTGATGGGCTTGTACCAATGTTTGATCAATAAAACAGCCACTGGCTCCTGAGTCGATGATGGCTGTAACTTGATGGTCTGTATTTCCCCACTGGAGAGAGAGAGAGGAACAGGCTGGTGGGACAGTAGAAGTCCAAGAAGAAGGAGCTATGACAATCTTACCAGGTGTGGTGCTGGGTCAGACTGGGCAGGACCGCAGTTGGTGATCAGCCTTTCCACAGTAGAGACAGAGTCCTTGAGAGCGGTGTCTCTTGCGTTCTTCTTCAGTCAGGGGGCGATGAACTATGCCTATTTGCATGGGTTCTTCAGAGGAGGAAGATGGAGAAGAGACCATAGAACCAGATAAATCCAGAGGCTGGAAATTGGCTGGGGTTTGTCTCTCACTTCTACATTCACGGAAGCGTCGGTCCAATTGGGTGACCAGGAGGACCAGCTCATCCAAAGACGTGGGTAACCCAACTCTGGCTAATTCATCTTTTAAGGCCTCAGACAGGCCCAATCTGTATTGTTCTATTAGTCCCGTCTCATTATAACCTGTGTCAGTAGATAGCTCCCGGAAGTCTGTGGTATAGTCTTCCACAGGTCTTTTCCCTTGCCGGAGGGCACGGAGGGCAGCAGAAGGTCTCAAAGGATCATCGTATAACGAGCGCATAGTTGCAGCAAATGAATCGCATGAATCCAATATTGGGCTATTAGAATGCAGAAGTTGGTGTGCCCAGGTCTGGGGTTGACCAGATAATAAAGCGATGGTAGTACGAACCTTCATAAAGTCATTAGGGTAGGTACGTGGCTTCAGAGTGAAGGGTAATTCACAAGCTGTAATGAATGAACGTAGTTCAGTCTTTTTCCCGTAAATTTGTCAGGCATGGGAATGTTTGGTTCGAGAGACATAGGCGGCATATGGGCAACAGAGGGGGACAATTCCGTAAGAGGTACAGACTGAGCTTTTCTCTGTTCACGCTGTAGTAGTGCAGTATTGCTGGCTTGCAAATCCTGAACGGCTTGAGCTAAAGCCGACATTTGTTAAGTTAAGGCGGTAATAGCTTCAGCTGTTCCTGCGGGTTCCATGTTTTAAATGGCTTGGTTATTATGTCACACCCACCTGGGGAATTTGCAGAGATGATGGAGCACAGTTGCAGCGGAACAGCATTCCCTTGCTATCACGACCCTCAGGAGCACCTGGAAGTGGAGACAGGGTCACAAAGGAAACAGGAGCAGGGGACGAAGAAAGAAGACCGCAGTCAGGTAGGAGACAGAAGTAGCCGATCAATCTGAGAAAGAAAACCGCAGTCAGGCAGCAGACAGAAGTAGCCGATCAATCTGGAGTCAGGTCAGGAAGCAGGCAGGAATAATCAATCGGAGAATCAAGGACCAGGAACCAGGAACATAGGCTGAAAATCAGGGCAATAGGCAGGTATATAGAGACAAGCAAAATAACCAAGCACTGACTGGAAGGTGTGCTTGGTTTAAATAGGTGGCTGGGATCACATGACCAGCCACCTCCCACCAGTAGGTGGAGCACACAGGATCTATATAAAGAGGTCAGGGACTCGGCGCCATCTTGCTTTACACCATAGTCCCTGACCTGTTCCTCCCTCGTGGATCTGCAGCTCTCCTCCTCTTCTTTGTGCAGAACACCAGGTGAGGGGTCTCCAGGAGCGGCGAGTACCACGACTCTGCCGTGAGGGTGTCGCGGGCACCCAGGGGCAGGTGAGTACACGGCAGTGCCGTGACAACCTTTTTTTGTCCCTCCTCCTCTCCTGTACCTTTTATTGTCCCCCATTCCCTCCTGTAACTTTTATTGTTCCCCCATTCCCTCCTGTACCTTTTATTGTCTCCCCCCTCACCTCCTGTACCTTTTATTGTCTCACTCCTCCTCTCCTAGAGAGTCAAAAATGGGTCGCAAGAGAATACTGAGGACAGGCAGCAGCTGAAATAGCCTGCCCTTCGGTCAGTCCCCGCTCAGTTCTCAAGCTGATTTTTGCTCATCTTGTGCCATTACAGAGAGAACATATCTGAAGCATATCAGACTGGTCCCACCCATATGGGCAGTCCAGATCCGAAATACCAGCAAGTTCTCTCTGCACGAGAGATACAGCAACCCCAAGACGATCGTTTCAGCCTTGTTAGGCATCATCAGTGAGGCATAGCTGATATCTCCCTAGGCACCGTGAGCAAGGGGTCCACGTCTGGATTATCCCTTTAAACTTGTAGAGAGTCAAAAATGGGTCGCAAGAGACCTCACTGATGATGCCTAACAAGGCTGAAACGATCGTCTGGGGTTGCTGTATCTCTCGTGCAGAGAGAACTTGCTGGCATTTAGGATCTGGACTGCCCGTATGGGTGGGACCAGTCTGATATGCTTCAGATATGTTCTCTCTGTAATGGCACAAGTTGAGCTAAAACCAGCTTGAGTTCTGAGCGGGGACCCACCGAAGGGCAGGCTATTTTAGCGGCTGTCTGTTCTTAGAATACTCTTGCGACCCATTTTTGCTCTCCATTAGTTTAAAGGGTAATCCAGACGTGGACCCCTTGCTCACGGTGCCTAGAGAGATACCAGCTATGCCTCACTGATGATGCCTAACAAGGCTGAAACGATCGTCTGGGGTAGCTGTATCTCTCGTGCAGAGAGAACTTGCTGGCATTTCGGATCTGGACTGCCCGTATGGGTGGGACCAGTCTGATATGCTTCAGATATGTTCTCTCTGTAATGGCACAAGTTGAGCTAAAACCAGCTTGAGTTCTGAGCGGGGACCCACCGAAGGGCAGGCTATTTTAGCGGCTGTCTGTTCTCAGAATACTCTTGCGACCCATTTTTGCTCTCCATTAGTTTAAAGGGTAATCCAGACGTGGAGCCCTTGCTCACGGTGCCTAGAGAGATACCAGCTAGGCCTCACTGATGATGCCTAACAAGGCTGAAACGATCGTCTGGGGTTGCTGTATCTCTCGTGCAGAGAGAACTTGCTGGCATTTCGGATCTGGACTGCCTGTATGGGTGGGACCAGTCTGATATGCTTCAGATATATTCTCTCTGTAATGGCACAAGATGAGCTAAAACCAGCTTGAGTTCTGCGGGGACCCACACCCGAGAAGGGCAGGCTATTTTAGCAGCTGTCTGTTCTCAAGAATACTCTTACGACCCATTTTGCTCTCCATTAGTTTAAAGAGGGTAATCAGGCGTGGAGCCCGCACTCCGCGGTGCCTAGAGATACCAGCTATGCCTCACTGATGATGCCTAACAAGGCTGAAAGCGATGATCTGGGGTTGCTTTCCTTGTATCTCTACGTGCAGAAAGAACTTACTGACATTTTGGACTGGACTGCCATTATGGGTGGATGATCTATTATGCTTCAGATATGTTCTCTCTGTAATGCCTAAGTTGACTAAACCAGCTTGAGTTCTGGCCGGGGAGGACCCACCGAAGGGGAATATTGAGCTATTTTAGCTGCTGTCCGTTCTCAGAATACTCTTGCGACCCATTTTTTGCTCTCCATTAGTTTAAGGGGTAATCCAGACATGGACTCCTTGCTCACGGTGCCTAGAGGGATATCAGCTATGCTTCACTGATGATGCCTAACAAGGTTGCTGTATCTCTAGTGCAGAGAGAACTTGCTGGCATTTCGGATCTGGACTGCCCGTATGGGTGGGACCAGTCTGATATGCTTCAGATATGTTCTCTCTGTAATGGCACAAGTTGAGCTAAAACCAGCTTGAGTTCTGAGCGGGGACCCACTGAAGGGCAGGCTATTTTAGTTGCTGTCCGTCCTCAGAATACTCTTGCGACCCCTTTTTTGCTCTCCATTAGTTTAAAGGGTAATCCAGACGTGGACCCCTTGCTCACGGTGCCTAGAGAGATACCAGCTATGCCTCACTGATGATGCCTAACAAGGCTGAAACGATTGTCTGGGGTTGAGTATCTCTCGTGCAGAGAGAACTTGCTGGCATTTCGGATCTGGCCTGCCCGTATGGGTGGGACCAGTCTGATATGCTTCAGATATGTTTTCTCTGTAATGGCACATGTTGAGCTAAAACCAGC